AAAAATTTAAGTTTTTCTATTTTCAATTATGACTAATTTGATGTACTGATAATTAAAATTGAATCGGTAGTATTTAAATAGCAAGGTTTTAAATTATTGTATTTTTACCTCTTAAATATGAGTAGTCTGATTCTTTTTATTTATAAGAAAAATCCTGATACATGTCTCGAATTAAATTTTATTCTTAACAATTTGATATATAAATTGTAAAAATTGGATCAGTACTTATTGAGTTATGACTACTACTCATTGTCCATAGGAAATACATTGGATACTTAATTTCGTTTGGTTGTTTCTCTTTCAAATAACAATTTTGCATTAATACTCACACTTTATTGAAACCACGAAAATAAGGTGAATTTTTTGGGAATCCAAAAGCTAACATGCTGAATGACAGACTATTGCCATCATCGATATTTGATAAATAATGACCGGTTATGTTTTTGATGATCATGTTGTATATAATAATATTTTTATTAAAAACAACTGAATATATGCCATCATTTCTTTTTAAAAAGTTAAACACATTCTCGATATGAGTTGTTATATAGTTAATAATCATTTTTCCGTTCGTTTCATTAATATCATCCTACAATCATTCAGAAGCATAAATGGTTAATCACAATTTAAAAAATCCGTTCCGTCGAGCTCCTTTTTAAACAAAATGCATATTTTCTGGTAATATTAGATATGAAAAACAATGTTATGTTACATAACATGTAACTTACGTACATTGTTTGGGCATAGTGCCACTCTGGGAGGTTTGAATTGGGTTCCGTATTGTATGCAACGCATAGCTTTAGAATATAGCATTCAATTTATGTGCTATTGTTATAACAATGGGTTTGCCATTAATGCTTTATTCGAACGCTATACCTTGTATACAATACTGAACCCCCATTCACACCTCCCAAGGTGGTTATATACCCAAACAATGTACGTAACATTATTTCTTATGCCCAATGTTACCAAAAATATGCATTTCTTTAGAAAAGGAAATTGACATATTTGGGCTATCCATTGTAAGATCTTTGCAATTTATTATTACCATATAATCCGATTTTAAATCAGTTTACACGGTATTATATATTAATATAATTAACAATAAAAACAATTATTTTAATAATTAAAATTTAGAAAATGCAAGATTAATATACTCTCTATAATTAGGTTAAGCTTACTCTGATAATAAGTTTACTAATTGTGTTTAATTTTTTCATGTATTGAAACAATAATTGAAAAGCTAGATTGCTTTTAATTATTAATTTACCTAATTTTTAATTAATTTTGAAATTTTTTATGAATATTTTATTTAATTAATACAAACCAATATCTTTTGCGAAATATATTTTTTAGCCACAACTATTTTGAGTCCATCTGTATATTGACTTTTAATCAATTGATCGATGCTTTCAATCCTATGCTCCACAGGAACTGTCATTAATGAATAGATTGTACCCGAATATAATGTTTGCAATACGATTATCATTATGATCCAGGTGAAGAATATTATATTGTTCGGATATTTATTTAAGGTTTTGTGTGGAATTTGCTTCAAAAAAATTACAAATACATTCCAACATAACATGTATTTAACATTGGATTTATTGTTAATATTTATTGTAAATATAACGGCAATGAATAGTGAGATTGTGGTTAGGATTGAGAGCCAAATATAACTGTCGAAGGGTTGCAACAAATTAGAAAATCGTGATACTTTTGGCGGCGGAGATGTAAAAATTAAATATGTGAATTCAAGTGGAAACGTAAAATCAATGGCCTTATGTCATAAATAGGTTATGCTAAACCCAGATCCTATATCCACCTCCTATTAGGTAATTAAAATATATAAACTAATTACACTATAAATAACATTATTACGTTATTTGTAAGTTTTCCCATAATTCCAGACCACGTGTTGTTGACTGGACTTAAACCATAATCTTTATTGCAGTCAATATAATCATAGCTTATGTTAAAGTGTGTTCCTATTGTTGTCAATATGTTATAAATAATACCATCATATATTTCAGAGGAATTTTTATTATGATTGTATTTAAAAAATGAGTATGGTGGAATCTAAAATAAATTATTATATTTTTATTTATTAACAAAATAACTTTTTTTCATATAATCATGCAACATTTTAAATATACAAGAAACTTGCAAACAAGTCTTATTATAAAACCTATTTTACTTACATGGTTATAAGCGATTCGAAATGTTTTACCGTTAAATTCTGACATATTTACACTTTATCATTGAACTCAATAAATAAAATATTATTTATATGTGACTTTATTATTTTATTATAAAATAATCTGAATGTTTTTTAAATATAAATAAATTTTCGCAATTGTTATTGGTAGAAATAATATTGATTAACATAATTATCTGTAACTTATAAATTGATTTAATATTTTATAATATAAAAATAAAATTTATGTTTTTAATAATTATGATTTATGCACATAAATATTTAATGCAACAACAACAAAGAATTTGTACAAATAAACTGTACTATTGACAATATTACATATATGACAATATATAATCACTATTTTGCCGTAATAATACCAATACACGTACCCTGTACTTATATTTTCAGCTTAAACATATATTTTAACACGATTATTTATAATTTGTCAATTATATGAATTATAATTTCTATAACATTTAAGTTGCATTATTATGTTTTGTAAAACTAAGAGCCTTAAAGTCAACTCTTACCGTAATTAAAACCAACACAAACCTACAGTGAACCAAATAACAATCAGGGAAAACAAAATCTTTAATAACTTTTGACTAGATGATTCGATTTTGAATCTGTTTTCACAGAATTGTAGCCAGATAATGTAAAATTAATTCCATATATAATTTGCCCGTGTAGCTATCACGGTGACAGAAATATATGAATTCTAAAAACATACAAATTTCTCATAGAAAAGAATTCAATACTTTTTTATATAAAATAATGTATTATTTTAAAAAATCTATTTATTGGAAATTTTCAGTAAACAAAATAGGTCTAATTTGGCTATTTTGAAAATATTATTACGCAACTTTTTCTCATAATAATTTCATATTTTTGTAGCTCAAAAACTACTTAGCCGATTTTATAATTTGATACACCAAAATGTTCAGAATAAAATATAAGTCGATAGCTATTTCAGGAAATATCTGAAAAATTACCGTGATTGTTATAAAAGTGTTTAAATTAAATAAAATTTCAAAATGCTTTCCATTAAAAATTTCTTGAAACACGTATTGACTTATATTTTATTCTGAACAATTTGGCGTATTAAACAATAAAATTGGCCAAGTACTTTTTGAGCTATATAAATAGTACAATATATAGAGAAAAAGTTACTTTACAAAATTTTTAAAATAGCCAAATTAGACTCTTCATTTATAATAAACATTCCCATAAAATAGATTTTTGAAAATGTACACAGGTTACGAATGGTAAACCAATAACTTCGGAATTGTTATGTGGTCTCTTATTTTGTATGATTATTCAATGCTTTTCTATGAGAAATTTGTATGTTTTTAGAATTCATATATTTCAGTAACCGTGATAGTTACCCAGGCAAAATATATATGGAATTAATTTTACATTATCTGGCTACAATTTTGTGAAAACAGATTCGAAATCGAATCATCTAGTCAAAAGTTATTAAAGATTTTGTTTTCCCTGATTGTTATTTGGAAAACCGTATGTTAGTTTAACTCAAAAATGTACAATCTAGAATCTAGAATCTAGATTGTACATTTTTGAGTTAAACTAACATACGGTTTTCCAAATAACAATCAGGGAAAACAAAATCTTTAAATCTTTAGATTCTAGATAACACTTTTGGAATTACTTATTATAATGTGTTTAAAAAGTTTATTTATAGAAATAATTTTCTGACAATAATTTACTATTAATTATTTACTTTTAATTCAATTATATACCAACCTACCATTGTATTTATTGCAACATTTCCTGAATAAATAAAATTTCTATTTTATTATTATTACTAGAAAATATATACTAATATACTAGAAAATACATTAATACCATGCTACTAGGTTTAACATCTAGTGTAGTTCTTGTGAATTTTTATTAATTGTATATTTATAAATAAATATTTAGGTTTATTATGATTCATAATTTATGATGATTGAAAATGCTTTCTGATGTTGATAATTATTTGAGTTTTAATAATAATTCTATAAACAAAACAAATATAGTAAATAATATAAAATAAATGCACCGGAATAACAGAACAGTAAGTTTTTATAAACTAGATTAAAATATTTATTATTCAGATGATTATTTAAATAGAAAATAATTTATTTAATTTTAAATAAAAATTTTCATTTACATATTTCACACTCAAACACATATGGTTTGAATCTCTAATTAAAATTGAAATTAATAATATATTAAAAATGGATAAAATAGTTGTAATTATTATATTATTTGATGGATTGTCTGATCATAATGTTGAACCAGATCAATTTATGCCACATAAAGCTCACAAGGCTTACAACAATAGGTATTTATTTATATTAATTGATAACTTGATTATAATTAATTAAATAAGAATAATTGCATCATTAATAGAGTTTTGAATATTAGTAATAAATATCATTATATAAAATTAATACTGTCTAATTAAATTAATTATTTATTATTATTACAGATTAAGTATATGGCTATACTTTAGAATTTTGGGCTATACTTTGGGTTTTTAATCTAATGTTAAACTACCATTAGATTAAAAACCCAAAGTATATGGATAGTGCTTTTTCTATGAATATGTTATCAAAATTTTAAGTAAAAAATAAATTTTAGCTATAGTTATAGCAAATAATAATATAAGTATTTTTTGATAACTTCACACTCTATGAGATAATTCAACAAAGTTTAATTATTATTTAAATTGTTTGTTTGACATTGTGTTAAATTTTTAAAATACCAATTGTTTAGTGAATATATAGATTCAAAAGGTATGGACGCGACTGTATTCCGATCGGCCGCCCGACAAATTGCTGACTATATTGTAGATTATATCGAGAATATTCGTGAGAGACCTGTATTTCCGTCAGTAAAACCCGGATATATCAAGCAATACATACCCGAAACGGCCCCTCAGAGTGGGGAGCCATGGAGTGCTATATTCGCAGATATCGACAGAGTTATAATGCCTGGAGTGAGTATATATTATTTGCTTATTTAACTAGATCACTCACTTTGCATTATACTTTACATTTTTACTCACTTGTTTTAATAATTGATTGAATAGATAACACACTGGCAGTCACCAAACTTTCACGCATACTTCATGACAGCCCAGTCCTATCCATCAGTTATTGCGGATATGCTGTCAAGTGGTTTGGGTGTCCTGGGATTTTCATGGGTTAGCACAAACACACGGACTTAGTTAGCAATTTAATGCGTATATTATTCCTGATACCACTCAAATAAACTGACATTTATTGATTATATAAATGACAGATCGCGAGCCCCGCGTGTACTGAACTGGAGATGCAAATGATGGACTGGTTGGCCAAAATGCTTACACTTCCCAACCATTTCATGTTCAGCAACGGCGGCAAAGGGGGCGGTGTTATAATGAATAGCGCGAGTGAGGCAACCCTTATCACACTATTGGGCGCTAGGAGTAAAATATTGGCCGAGCATGGTCATAATAAAGAGTTAATCACCAAATTAGTGGCCTATGCCTCGGATCAGTCGCACTCCAGTGTCGAGAGGGCCGCACTGTTAGGCGCCGTTCAGATGAAACTATTGCCAACCATAGCCTCAGACAATCATAGCCTTAGAGGAGATGTTTTAAGGGATCAGATTAAAAAAGACAGAGCTAATGGATTGATCCCATTCTTCGTTGTGGGAACGCTGGGCACCACTGGTATATTGGCTTTCGATAACATCACAGAAGTGGGCAAAGTTTGTAAGTGTTTACAAATTATTATTTATTAACTTTTCATTAGATAATATCTATATATTAGATATATTATATTGTAATTTTGTAAATAAATTACACTTATATTTTTGTAAATATTAAACACATTTGTATTGACAAAACAGGCTCTGAAGAGAATGTATGGCTACATATAGACGCCGCGTACGCCGGCTCCGCATATATTTGCCCCGAATTTAGGCATCATTTAAACGGAATTGAAGTTAGTTTTGCTCTTTCACTACAACTGTTATAAAACTTAAATATTATTACCGTATTACGCCGCATATAGGTGCATGCACTTATATGTGAGTTTTCACACAAGGGGTGCACCTATATCCGGATATAGGTGCCGTCGTTTTTGCAAACATTTTTAAAGTAAAATATAATTTAATTTGAAATATACATATACATTGAAATGAAAATCATAGTACATGTAATTAGACGTTTAAGTCTAAAGTGTGTTTAAATGTTTAAATATACCTATATTTTTTATACATTTGTGAGATTTATGAATGTTTTGTATGAAATGTCTAGGATGTCATTGAATGGATATGTCTTCAAGTGATTATCCAATTCAAATGATCAAATTAATTAAATACCTCAAGAATTTGTAGATTTGATTTAATTATTAATAAAGTATAATTCATTCATCAATTTATTCATCAATGTAAATATTTTGACAAATAAATTTTGGTGCACTTATATGTGATTTTTACACAAGGGGTGCACTTATATCCGGATATAGGTGCGGTAGTTTTGGTGACATGCAAAATCTGTGAAATTCACTTA